AACTCCATCAAAATTCTTCTTGTTTATATTTAGGTACTGTTATGGCTTAAATATGTAAACGTATTATGTAAACGACTGCATGAAGTATGCTCAAAGTGAATTTCAAGAACGGTAAATCAAATAAAGAGTTTTTGAAAAAATATTATAGTTAAAATAGGGTAGATGCCTAATTTTAATTTTAATGTCCGTCTGGTTCTTACAGAAACGAATACTTTAGACGAAATATTGATTTGAAATGTCGCGTGACGTCACTTCTATGTACATTTTATACGTAGAAATGACGTTTTAGCCTCCATTACTAAACTTTAATTCGTTTTATCTAAATATTGTTTACGACAAAATAAATAATACGTGTCTAATATTTTTTGATTACCTAACTTACGGACTAATTATATTTTTCATTTTCATACCCTGTCATCATACCAATTATAGGCAAACACACAGAAATCTAAACCGAGATACATATCCTGAAAGAAACTTGAGATCTGAGCAAGTTTAGTTATCTATGACTTTCATAAGGTACCGCCAATCAAGTGATAGTTTTTGTAAGTCATCTATTAATCTATATATTGCAAAGTGAAGCTAACCTATTACTGTTCCAAATTGTTATCATCCCTAGCGGTTGATGACAAGATTTCTAAAGGTTTTCACAAAGAATACCAATATCAAGCCAATTTGATTAAGACTCTGTACGTACTGCCCCCAATCTAGTTGGAAAAAGGCCAAGATCCAAAATGGAAGAAGAATTGATATTCAGCAGCTAATCACCGCATAATTGCAATCTTTTAACACAAATCTCGATTGAAATATACGACCACCTTACGTGAAACCTTCGAAAACGCCCGAAAGGTTTCAAACCACACGGGGATTCATAAAAATGAGCAATGCATCATCGTACTTAACCTTTAGCCGCAAATATAAAAATTAGTTTTACGTACTTGAATCTACACTTTAAAAAAGAAAATATTCATAGCTCACGTGTTCGCAGACGCTATAAATTATTCGCTTTCCGCAAGGAATGTAAACAGTGTATATTTCAATCATCCACCGCACCATTGGCCTAGATTTTAGAGGTGAAATAAGCTAAACCCTGCGTAAACCCATCTTTCACCAATATCAAGGAAACAGTAACACGAATCTATAATAGGAATTTAAATAAAAGCTCCGATTATTATTACGAACGAATTACGAAAACGAAGACGATTGCGAATTTACGATATACGAAGATCAGATCATAATTCCACTATTACTTGGCTCGCAAGATGCAGGAAGAAGGCTATAACGGGTGTATCTACTAGACTACCTAAACCGTCTTCATTCTACCTAATTCGCCCATCGATGAATTGACTAAGATGTGTGAGACCGAAAATTGAGAGTTCCTCTCCCTCAAACCTTTGGGGTCAGCAAGTACTTTGAAAAAGGAGAGCGAAGAAGAAAAATGAGACTTAGGCCTGATAGTACTACGCAACGCTTATAGAACAGACGAATTGCGTAGAACCTACACAGACATTTTCTTCGATCTATGTGAAATCTAAAGACAAACCACTTTCAATTCCATTCTTAATTTAGTAAGAGACCCAAAAATAACTCCAAAATTATTCGTTTATTGCTCCAATGAATAGGTTACAGAAATATCGTATTGTCCATAACATTTCTATTGTATATTTCGTTCCTTGTTTTGGCAACAACGCTGCGTGTAAATTACCGAGTTATTAAGATTAATTAAAATTAATTGGCTGTAATAGAACTTGAGTAGATGGTTTAAAACTCCCACCCTTTATAATGCTGTAATAGTATGCATTAAGGATATGATGGCATAATAAGGAGATAGATGTATCTACCTAATTAATAAGTGTTTTCCGGGTTAACGAATTGATTCGATTTAAAATGTTTTTTAACCGATTTGACTCTTTAGGTGGGACATAGATTAATAAGCGTTTAGACGAGAGATTCATTTCTAATGGTTTCTCTAATAAACTATGAGCGTCGTAGGGACATTAATATAATTTTCCATATCATCCAGCGCTTCATTTTTTATGAAATACGAGGCAATAGAGTAGACGGATCACCTGATAGTAAGCAATCAGCGCCACTCATTAACACTCGCAATCCCAGAGGAGTAACAAGTGCGTTGCTGGCCTATTTCATGTATTGAGAACTAAGTTTTAATTCTTATATGTTTTACTATTTTATTACCTACATTATCCTCATCATCATCATATTGAATAAAAGTGTTTATTCTGTTCAACAGCTCAGTTTTCATCCTACAGCAGCCTGTAAGCTTATTCCAGGTTTCCTTGTAAATTACTAGTCTATGTTCTGAACCGTTATTTGCCTTTATTTTCAAAAAGGCTTTACCAGCTTCCTTTTTCTTCTAGCCCAACCGTTTTCTACAACAACAAGTACCTACCTACTTTTAACATGTAAACTTCTAACAATTCCATTATAAAAGTTGAATTCAGCTGCTTCTCTCCAGCCGAGATTAAGTACTGAATTTTTTATATTAGTTTACCTATGTTAGTGTGGAAGTAATTTTGGCTGTGATTGCGGATTAGTTTCGTAGGACAACTACACCACATTATATGCTAGTATATTAGCAGGTCTAACTAGACTATAATAAGTACTTTAGTAGGTTACACATCTGAATTTTGAAACAACTTGCTTTCTTTTATAATTATAGGATGGATGGACTCACCCCCTATTTTCCTATTACATGGGACTCATAACATAAATAGTAAAAAGTGGGTGTTACATTGTACTGTGGCATAATTGTAGATACACCTCTGCCTACCCGATGGTGTATGTAGGTACCAACCATGGACAGATGGGAGTGTCCATTTGTTCATGGGCGGCAATACAAGTCAAAACGCAAGTCTGTTGCTGGCCTTTTGAGAAGAGGTTGGGGTCTTTTAAAATAACCAATCTAAATACGATAGAGGGATATCTTAAGCATGTATTCACGTCGCGGAGAACTTAACGGGTTACCGGGGTTCCGGCTCGATTTGCAGGAGAAGGAACGGGGTGGTTTATAGTCAGTAAGAGTCTGACACTTCCTCCCGCCTCACCCAGACGTGAAGTCATTCGATGATTTTCCCCCCTTAAAAAAAGCATGTATTCAGAGCGTAGAGATGAAAAGAATTTAAATAGGATTTCTAGATCTTTACATCCCCGTCTGCCATCTCTCTCATCAGACCTTATGGTCTTTTAAGATTCCAGCTTCTGAGGTCCTAGTATGCTATGCGAAGCATGTAAAGTTATGAGATAAATAGAACGTGACAAATGTGATAAAAACTTTCGCCAATTTGTTAACATAAGTAGTTACCTACATAGAGAAATAAATTGTAGATAGATAACTGTTTACTTAAAGTTATTAACTTATCTTAATAAATAGGTAGGTAGATATGTCTGGTACAGATCAAGAAAGAAGGTAAATAATATGAAAACTACCTACTATTGCATTTTAGACTACCTTATTATAAATTCATCTACCTATCTATTAATTTTAAAACAAGTTCAACTCACCCGTAAAATCCTTAAAACCACTGCTTAAAATACTGGATTAATGTATCGGAATATTTATCGTTATCGTATCGTTTCAGTTCAATATTAAAAATGTCAACACAACACTGCAAAACACGCGGTTTTCTTTACACACTCCCGTACAATGTCGCGGGTACCCCGTGCACTATTCACGTTCACACAACTTCATTGATATCTCGCGTCTTACTGAAAACACGGTGCCTCGAATTACGGAGCTCGGAGAAGCCGGCTGCACCAATCTGTTGTCTTCCAACACATAAACAAACTGGCAAGCGGAATGAAGCTAGCCACAGATGTAGCGGCTATACACAGTATACTCTACCGCCCCGGAAAAACACACGCACGCATCAAACACGAAAACTACAAGACACAAACGATACACAAACAAAAATGAAGAAAAGTTTATTTTATAATCGACACGAAAGATCACATGATGAGATAGTATCGTGGAAACAACGAAAACAACGTTAAGTAGGGCCAAGATTAGCGCTAGTGTGACGTAGTACGCGAGCTTCCGCGTCTGCGTGATGGGGTCGCGTCCTTCAGAAAGGCCAATTTCGACACTATGTCCTTATAACAGAGTCCATGTGTAAGAGCCATTGTCGGTTTGTATTGCAGCTTATTATAATTACCCGCACAAATTTGAGCTTTACTCCCCTATGATTCGGTTTATATTTGGTCGACGGACGTATAAAATACTGCAGGCAGACGTGTCACGTGCGTGCAGGGGGGCCAGCCAGATGATCGCAGTTTGGTGAACTCACCCACGACCCCTCGATACAAAGCTTGAAGCTAAATGCAATTTAACAAAAACTTACATTTCGTATTGATTTAATTTTGGGAGTAGTCAGTACTTTGTTGTGCCAAATAATAAATAAGTGGGTAGATACTTGCGATTGTATTTAACAGACACGTATATTTATGAAAAGTATTCGGGGTACAAGAATCAAAAAGGTATCGTCTTTAAGCTTTTCAGAAATAATGCATCAAACGACTGACGTAACTAATGTTTTGCCATTATACAAAACTGTTATACCTACTTATGAAAGCATTTAAGAATAACTACTAAATGGTTTATTGATGACGCAATTAATGTTATAAATCGTAAAACATATTTTTTCGAGTCTAACTTTGAAGGAGTGTTGTTAATGAATGTACAAATGGCTTATATAGGAGTCTAGGTGCACTCCGAACGTAGATAGTCCCTGGTCGTGACTGAGATAGAAAAATTTTGTATGCTCAAACATAGCTGCCTAGTAACATATACATCACCTACTTTTGGCCACATCAGACGCAGGAAAACAGTGGCGCCCAAAGCTGACCTACAAAATATTTGGCACTAGATAAAAGGAGCTTCAGAATCCAATAGGAATTTTTCTATCACTATTTTTTGATGTCAAGTAAAACAAGAACAATTCAATAATCATATTATATAATTGAATGACACAGAAAACATCAAATAGACAATAATTGTACACAAAATTGACACTTCATAATAGGTATGTATATAAATCGTAATTTGGTCAAGGGTAAATATTAACATTTTAATTAATACGATACAAAATATTATTCAATAATAAATATAGGTTTTTAAGCCGATCACAATAATACAAAACTTTCGTTTGAATTTCCGCGCCTTATCTAAGTTTGCGCGTATACATTATAAAATTGATTAAATATGACTAGAATTGATTATGATAAACTTAATTATTATGGCAAGATATTTAATTAAATAAAGAATTTATTAAAAAATGGAGTGAATATTTTCGGATATGCGCTAAGCCGAATATTCGGTTTGATTGACGAATACTTCTTGAGCTGAAATTCGGCCTTAAAGTGTAATTTTAGTTATGTACAGGTTAAATATTTAATTTGACAACGAGATGCATCTACAAGGTCGGTATATATTAATTATACGAGGAACGGATTTATTAGGAATATTTCTAGGGGTATACAGACTCATTAAGTTTGCTACTTTCTTAAACAGTACCTAGATAATAATATAATGTATGTAGATAACGCATTCGTGATCAAGTATACTTCTTACACGACATGAGATGTGTCTAGACTAGACGAAGAGTAGAATGAAAGTAATGCTTGTAAGTACTTGGTAATAGGGAAGATGACAATACATTCATCATAATAAATTAATATCTATAGACTTATATTTTCACGGATAAAGTTCATACTTTGTATCATCGCGCGTCTAGTATAAACACATCCCTACGTTAATGTCGACTTAAAATCTAAATATTATTCAAATATAAAAAGTGTATAACAATTCATTCAGATTAGTATAATTTCCATAGACTAGGGTTAACTCCTCAATATCAAATATCATAAGATTATTCCCAAAAACAGCAGACTTTAGCAGACAAAACTCACTGGATACACTTTATATAATAAGTAATTACTTTGTGCTACTAAAATATCACACTTGTGCAAAACATTCAACAACAAAAACAAGCTAACAACAATACGATACTAATACACAACGAACCCATACACAAACTTGATTCAATAGTTGATCTGCAGGCCGAATTTTAGTCGAACCTAATAGTGATGTCAATTTGTCGAACATGTTAATGATGATCAATAAATACCCCATTTAATGTATATCATGGCTTAACGACGCCCTAGAAATATAAGTTATTAGTGTAAAAAAATATTACACATTAAAATTAATTCTCCGAATTTTATGACAGTAAAATTAATTCTAAATATTTACGTATGAAACTATGAACTATGAAAATGTGCATAGGTTCATTGTGTAACAGTTAATAATAAAATAACTCTACGACTTCAAAACTTCGCGTGACTAGGCTTACCCTGCACTTACGATAAAGAAAGCAACAATCAATAAATATTCTACATTCAAAATTTTCAGGTTAAAAATTAACTACCATATATTCATAGAAAAACCCATTTTAATTGGTTAAGATATCTTTTAAAAAATAAATCGTATATTTCATTTTCCTGATGTTTATTCTGGTATCATATTTCGACGAATAGTAACTAAACATTAGTATTCGGCTTAAGCCAAGTTACGGACATCCCTAAAACAATCATAAACCTGACTTTCGAAAATTCGAGAATAATCTGTAAACCTGTAAAAAACGTACGAAATTCAGATCAAAAACATTTTTAAAAAAAGAAACTCCCAAAAAATAAATCTATTGACACAATACAATAAAATCTTTTTAAAAGTAGGTACAGCAGGATGGAATGTAAAACAAATTAGTTCCATTAACTAAAAAACAAAAATCAGTCTCATTAACCGTAGACCCTTTGGAATAAATAATTTTCTTGGTTCCAAGATTATAAATATAAAATGTTTTTGAAGATTATAAAATATGTTCATAAATTGTATAGTCCAATACTTTTAGTTCCAAGGTAAGATAGTGTATAAGATAGTATAAAATCACAGATTATAAATATAAAACTTAGCATGAACAAAACTTCTTGTCCTTGTTGGCTTGCAGTTTCTGGAGAGATTGACGGCGACGGCCCGATGCGCAAAGCATCGCGTACTCCACTGAAGACTCCATTCTGAACAAAGACATTATTTATTTAGAAGTACCTATTTTCATATGCCAAGAGGTCCTACGAGTATTGAAGGTTTAGGGATAGGAGAAATGGGCTTCGGGAAGCCTCACTCAAAATATTTCTATATATCCAGATAATATTGTATAGAAGGCTGAAGAAGCACTTATTAACTACTAGCGACCCGCCCCGGCTTCGCACGGGTGCAATATGCATGTATTATACATACAAACCTTCCTTAAGAATCACTCTATCTATTAAAAAAAACCGCATCAAAATCCGTTGCGTAGTTTTAAAGATCTAAGCATACATACGGACATACAGCGAAAGCGACTTTGTTTTAAACTATGTATTGAAGATAATACCGTTACCGGAGACCCAATTACCTTCCCCTTCCCCAATCTCCCCAATCCCTGAATCCCCAACGATCCTCAAACTCCTAATCCCTAAAAAGCCGGTGACGCACTTGTAACGCCTCTGGTGTTCCAAGTGTCCATTGGCGATGCCGATTGCTTACCATCAGGTGATCCGTCTGCTCGTTTACCGGCTTATTTATGCCATAAAAAAAAATATTATACATTCTTACCTGTTCATAATGCGGTCAAGTAAAATCTCAATAGCTCGGTCGATATTCTGTCCGGATTTGGCACTAGTCTCTAAGTATGGCAGGTTGTAGTTCTTGGCAAATTCCCGCGCACGGTTCTGGTTCACCAGCCTTTTTTCTTGCAAATCACATTTGTGGCCACAGAGGACTATGTCTGGGTCATCAGAGAGACTATGAGTCTGGAAATACAGTGAGAATAATTATATAAATTATTTCTTACAACAACTAGTGGCAATATCAATAAATCTCTTATTAAAGAATAAATGCCTACTAGTAGTACAATTAAGATAGAAAATAGCTTGGCAATTCTAATTTACTGGGAAACCTTTGAAACCCAAGGGTAAGACTGTTTAATTCATCAAAATGAACCTTACTATCATTGCAATAAGAAATAAAATAATTAATTACCTTCAGTTGCTCAATCCAGTTCCTGACTTCAAGGAAGGATGCCTCATTGGTCAAATCAAACAGCAGAAGGAATCCCATTGCATCTCTGTAGAAAGCTGTAGTCAGGCTGCGGAATCTAGAATGTATAATTTTATTGATTAAGTAACTATTTAGTAATGTAACTATTTTCGACCATATTATTAATAGTGAAAGAAAGTAACTTATGTTCAGGGTTACAAGGTCAAGAATGAATTATCTAGTGATCTGTAAATATATTATATAAATATGTATTTTCTCAGAAACCACTGCAGGGGAAAATAAGTGAGTGTGATTAAGCCTTTAACTGCCGACAAAAAACTGTTAAAGGCTAATCCTCCGCTAGCGTCGGACAACATTGTCCAACACGGCAGCCAATGCGTTAATTATTACTTTTTATTTACAATTTATTTATTATATATTTTTTATTTTTAGCCAAAGTCGTCCCACTGCAGGGCAAAGGGCTCCTTACCCTCCTTACACTTGTTTCATCTAGCTTTATGTTGCTAATCCAACTAATGTTATATCTGCCGCGTGTCAGATGAGCTGTGGGAAAAACTCACTACTGAGTAGAGCCAATCAAGCTCAATAGATGTCGTGGTAGGCCCAGGAGAGCCACCCCTTCTGGCCAGCTTCCTTCGTTCTATCCCGCCAGGGATAAACTGGTCTATGAAAAAGATTGGTCACAGAAACCTATATATTTAAAACGGTAAAATAAAAATCAATTTGTACCTCTCCTGTCCAGCAGTGTCCCACAGCTGTAAATGAATGCGATGCTGCCTCCCATTCTGTTGGTAAATCTGAAATATTACAAACAAAAACTTAAGTCACTTGGTAAAACCTCGAATTTAATATTGAACGCAAATGGTCAATTAAAATACATTGCAAAAAGCTCATACGTTAATTAATTTTATCTGTATCAATCATTCGAGATAAGTAGGTAAATGAATGTGATAAAATATTAATGTTTGATAATGAACTTACCAGACTTTTCTCCCTAAAGTCTATGCCCACGGTGGAAATAAACTGCGTGTGGAAGACCCCATCGGTATATTTATATAAGAAGCTCGTCTTCCCTACTCCAGAATCTCCCACACAGAGAAGTTTAATGAGATAGTCGTAGTCCATAATGATATAGGGTTTAAAACAGCTAAGTTCCAACAAAGTTGCTTCCGTGTTCTACCTCCCATACGTAACTGGTTATATTTCAGGACCTTTAACTAATAATACTGGTGCATTGTATACGTTTAGTACATTATCACAAAAATCACAAAATAAATCAGAAAAAAACATCAACAATCGATCGGTTTCTTTATGACTTTTCTGTCAATAATGTCACTTTGACGTTTCCAACTTTCCACTCCCAACTTCTGATAACACGAGGGCTGCCATTTCAAGTATTTGGTTTTCTACAATATTATGATTTAATTTTATTAACAGAATCAATTACAAAGAAACTTAAAATAATTGATCCACATTGAAACTCATTTATTTATTATTTCTTTCCCAACAGTACATCCATGCGAATATGATCTGGTGACGTTTGATTTTGAAGAATACAGAATGGTAACATTATAGAAATCAGCTGTTCTAAGTTTACAAACACCACATTTTTGGTAAATTATATAGAATTTTAGATAATATAAAATAAACTGACTATGTAAAGAAGGAGGATATCAAAATAAATTTTAACAGAATGGCTGGCACTGAACCTGCAATGGAGAATCATCCCAAAGTCAAAGTGGAATATTGGTACAGTAATATTGTTGATTCAATACCTATTTTACATTAAATAGTGAACTGATTAGCATGATGTGAGAAGAGCTTTGTTTGAAATACAAGTATTGATAATAATGTGCTATGACTTGCTTTCTAAAGCTTTTTGATTAACGAGACCTAACCTTTACCAAAGAATAGGTACATTTAAACTCACCTGGTGCTTAACCTATTAAAAAGTCTTCTTTTTTTATTAAAGAAAATTATTAAAAAAAAATTAAAAGCCATTAAGGGTAATTTCCTCTGAATGAAATCTTTTTAACATACTTTATCTGTGGTTATTTTCAGTGGAGTTTGTGATTATGGCGGTCACTGCTTAGCTCTTGGACAAATAATCAGAAAAAATACTCCTAATGCCACAATACACTGTATGCGTGGGAGACAAGGTAATATTTTTTTTAATAATTAGGTATTTTACTTTTTATTCTATTTTGTCTAGAATAAAAAATCAAATGTAGCGTTCTAATAGATTCAAGTTTAAGACTTCCATCCACCGTTAGAATTCAACAGTTCTTAAAATAAACTAAAATAAAATTGTTAGAATATTATAGAAGTACATATTTCGCTTTCAGGTGCCTTTGAAGTTGAAGTAAATGACAAATTAATATACTCAAAACTACAGACAATGGCATTGCCAGACTTTAACGAGGTAGCGGAAGTAGTAAACAATGTTTCATTAGGGGAGGAGCCTCGGCTAATAAAAGGACAACAATCAATCAACTGTGCAATATCATAAAATATATTCAACTCGTAACCAACTGTAATATAAACTAGTCTTAGATATAATATTAAAATATAAAATGAGAAAATAACAACTCCTTTTTTTTGTATATTACAAAAATATACTTTACAATACATAAAAATACAATTTTTGGATAGATTTCTTTTTTATAATATGAAAAAATATACTCTTTATTTCAAACAAGAAATTACATTTTGGTACTATGTATATGGTTTAACCAACTTAAATTTTGAATCTACTTAAAATGTAATGGAATGTAAGCAGCCAATTAGTATCAAACAAATTTTGAATTTATAAATGCATTTGCAGACTGTTTATTGGCAATTTTATTATCATTCAGTCTCTTTATAAATTCATTAATTTTTCATAAAAAAAAACTAATCAAGTAGACAGCCTCTATCTGCTTATTTGGGTAATAGTAACATTATATATCCACCCAATATGCTAGGAATTTATTATTTAACACAATTAAATAAGATTTCCTTTGGCTAATATAGCGGCAATAAAAAGTTGTAGTATTTAAATACTCCAATATTTTGTAAAATAGATATCACATTATAAATAAACTAGTTACTATTTTAAAAATATGTTTACGAAAACGAGAATTTAGAATTTTTACATAAATATATTATTATGTGTAATTTACATATCACAGCCTGTATATCCTGCACACTATATTACAACATTATAACTAAAGATTTTGAAATTTAGAAAAATATTATTTATTTAAAGGACCAGTCCATATCTCATGAAGGTCTAATTAGTTGTGAGTTTGACAAATATTGCATTGCTTCTATGTACGATATATAAAAATATTTAAGGTTCAAATGTAGTGGGATTTCAGCCACACAGTACATTTTTAAACCCTTCGTTTTTAAATTAATTACTCATTTGTTTGATAATAGCTATTTTTAAGCACTGGAGCTTAATTGTTATTTACATACAGGCTGGTTGTATCCCGAACATTAGTTTTTAAAATTACGATTTTGGTCGTCATTATTATTTGTGCAATCATAGTTTTTGGTATGATTCAAATGTGAAGACACAATTTATTATTTTGTATCTAAAAAAATTCTGACCGTTTAATGAGATACGGATCATAGCCCCAGAAGGCAAGACTTTAAAGTAAATCCCATATTTATCGAGTAAAAAAATAATTCAGAAACCCAATTATATAACCCCACCACCTTACATTAAGTAACCCCAAATAAGAAAATATATTTTCTTAAATTATAATAACGTTATAAACTTATAACCACACGCTTATCTATATGTTTCACCTACTTATATCGTCTTCATTTATTATAGGTTTTACTGGTGTATGTATTTTTAGGTACCGGTCTTTAGAATTGTCCGCTGCACCCACATAACTTAAATAAATTCCGAATCGCAGCTTTCCAGCAAACTGTTCAGAGATTGTCCTAAGAGGTTCTACTGTTTTATAACCTGTTTGTTGGTCGATGCACACCATTTGGCATCTTGGGCAGAGGCCTTCGACCTGAAAGAGGGATTTAACATATAAAGCAATTAAAAAATTAAGAAATCCTTTTTTTTGTAAACCACGTTGGGAACGACACAGACGAAGATATACGTTTTTTTTCTTCCATAAACACACAATACCTACAGTTCTTGCACGGCATAAAATATTTTTGAAATTCAAATAGGTATAAGACACCTTTCTTATAAAATATTTACGTCAATATAGCACGAAAACAAATGATTTTCAAGCATGATTCATCACTTATGGGCACGGGTTTTCTTTTGTTTTTTCTGCCAGAACAATTCTCTATTACGTTAAAAAAATAGACATAAGCCAGCTATTATTCAGTGTTTAATTACCTTGAACTCTTGATTCCCAATAATGACTCTGTGCCAATCTCGTTCGGCGAGTTCTTCTTCCATATCAATGACGAGGTTTCCTCTAAATCGGTCGGCCAAACTGTCTACGTCATCGACGAATAGAGGATCCTGAATCTTTTCCCTTAACCATCGAACTGTGGCTTTGTTTATCAAGAGGAATTGAGCTTGGTTACTTAATGAAAGCAGTTTCTTTTCGCCATTTTGTTTCTTCTTTTGGGCTCTAGTGTCGTCACTAGATTGTTTAATAAGACGCAAGTAGGATATTTCTAAGGCCTCCGATATCCAGTCGGCTACTTCATCACCACAGTCATAACCTTGGATGATGTCTGTACAAACTTTACTACGACATAGCGATGAATTCTTCGTTTTCTTGTCGGACGTAACATCTAATGGCACTGATACTGGAGGCTTATCTGCAATGGTAATAAAAAAATAAAAAGTTAATATGTTAAAAGTCATTTAAATAAAGTTTATTAAGGTGACCCCGTACCTTCAAAGCATAATACCATTACTCTTCTTTGCAGATCTATTTTAGGTTTTATCAAACACATTCTAGGAGTGTGTTTCTGTGTTAAACATACGCCATTATCTTTTATAATCATCCAATCCCTATCATATTCAAATCCTTTAGGTCCAATTTTCCATGCAGACTTAATTTTAAAAGCTCCACAAGATTTGATCGGGAATATGGCTACTTCTTTTAATGTGATTTTAGCATCACTAATATGATGCGGAATATCTTCTACGTCGTTCTTGAAAAAGAACTCGTGTTGATTCCATATTTTCTGTGCTTGTGCTATGCCGTTGTATAATTTATTACTTTTTAATGCATCTATTATTGTTCTATGACTCATTGATAAGTAACGTTTTGGTGGTTTCATTTTCGTTTTGACGAAGCACCGGCATATCATATGTATTAGTTTATCCACATCATTGAATGTGTTAAAGTATCCAAATGAAGCTCTAATTGCTCCAGTTGGTCTCCCATCAATGAGATCTACCTCGTCGCCACATACGTGACCAGATTTGTACATTTCTTTCAATTCTTTATTAGAAGCTACTAGATGGCGTTGACAGGAGCCGGAATTGCAAAAACATCCCGTTCTAACATTGATATTGAATAAATCTGCCATATGTTGAAACTGAAATTTAAAATTTACATACCATTAATCACTACATGGTATAAAACAAAGACGCTATCCGCCGTCGTCTGTCTGTCCCTATGTATGCTTCTATATTTGAAACTACGCAACGGATTTTGATGCGTTTTTTTTTTGATTGAAAGAGTGATTCTTAAGTATAATACATGCATATTGCACCCGTACGAAGTGGGGGCGGGTCGCGTTATATAAGATAACATGATGAATTTTTTGCATAACAATCTTTTGTATAGGTTTAGCAGATTATACAGTTTCACTTAATGCGTGGATGCTTCAATGTTTCACAGATTACAGTTGTAGGTACCCTACATTACTAATGTTTTATCGTGATTGCATCTATCAGTGAACTAAACAGTTTTGTTAAAAAAAATGCATAAAGGCAAGATGTTGTAAGGTAAATAAACACCAATGTTTCCAAATTAAACAAATAACAGCATGTTAAAAATACGCTTCAGTAGTGATAAGAATGGCCACTTAACAATATTTCGTCATCACGTTGTTTACGAATTCGTACTTAGTTCATACTATAGACATATCTATACGTATAATGTACAGATAATTTGTATAGACGTTTATAATATGTAGGAATATTGTAAGATGTTTCGAGGTCACGACAACGTCTTCCGATGATGCGATATTATCTACTGGTTGCCGAGCATCCCCGAAATCTCGAGTATCGAGTGCGTAATTGAAATTGTGTATTTTTTATCAGTATTTCTAATTGGTATGCGTCAAATTAAGTTTTAATCTGAATATTCGTACCTACACCAAAAGCAAGTGGCGTGCCTTTCTTTTTACTCGGTTTTTTTTGCAAAGGTTCATAATATTTTCTTTTTTCACTTGCTGGATATAATATCTACTTACTTTATAAATCCCAGTGGGATGTTGGACGACTTTTTTAGATTAAACTAACCACACGATTTATCCGCAATAGATACATACGATCAGCCACGGGAAACTTGAATAGCGAACGCATTACGGATATAGGTATATTTTTTTCAGCTGTTATAATTTTTTTGGTGTTGTTTTTTTCGTCATACCAATTGTTACCAAATGTTATTAAAATTTCTTACCTCAACGAAACCAATATAGGAGCCATCTTCTCTTAAAAGATTAAATGTAACAATTCCACCTTGTTTTCTAATATCACTAAAGTTGGAATCCATGTATGTAACAGCTGCCTTATTACCATTTGCATGTTTCAAGTCGTGCAGTTGGAAATAAAGGTCTTTCGCTAAGAAATATGTGTGGTACGATACTGTATCCATTATATCATCGTATATTGATTTAGGTATTAACTTGTGCATAGTGTCAAAACAATGTTTCAATGAAAGCACTGATAAAAATGGTATCGTGCCATCTTCCATCCTGAAAATAAAATTTTTAGTAATATTATTCAAATATATTTTTATGCATAAGAGAGAAAGGTATTAATATTATTCTTGTTTGCATTGGCGGTTACAATTTAAAAACAACTGATTAAACTGGTATGTTTGATCCAAATATGCTGGATCATACCAGTTGTTCCAAATTCAATAAAAATGAAATGAAAAGTTAATTAAGTACCTATGGGATTTGCATTTCTTTGTAATTCATATTTTTATTAAAAAAACGTTTTTAGGAAGTCTAATAAGTGCAGTTAGTAGACTTTTTGAGTGAATAAAATATTTGTTAATAACTGACTGCTGTATAGAACACTTCTTAACAATATCTCGGAGAACCTAACGGGTTACCGGGGCTCCGGCTCGAAGTGCAAGAGTAGGAGCGAGGTGGTTGTTAGTCAGTATGAGTCTGATACCCCCTCTTACCTCACCCAGGCGGGAGAAGTCATGAGCCCTTAAAAAAATAATAAAATGATTGATTATTACCTTTCATACAAATCTTTCCTCTTCACATGCATATCTTCTGTACTTAAAACAAAATCAACAGTCCCACCTCCAAAATATTTCTTTTGGGATAGAACATCACTACTGCTATTCTTAATTAAAATTGCCCCCAATCCAGTTGGGTACCCAAATATCTTGTAGAAGGAGAGGCACACAAAATCTGGTTGGGTAGCAGACAGATCTAATCTATTTGTTGACACAAATGAAGCTGCATCAAGGAGAATGTACCAGTTATTATTGATTTGACACAATTGTTTTTTTAAGTGATTGTTAAGGCATCCATTTCTTATGAGCTCCATACAATCAATGGGATACTTAAATCCATTGAAATTACTCTGTGCAGGGTATACCAGCAATGTGTTGGCATCATCCTTGTTTAGGAATTTGTCCTTTCGCATTAAATGTGACTTTTCGTTATTACTAACAGCTAATAGGAAGTCTTCATGGGATATGTGTATAATATCAGCATATTTGTCAGCAGCAATTTCCCTCAAACCAAGCACCGATGTGTGGTTATCTCTCAAATACACGAATGAGCCGCTGTTTCTCTCATTGTCTATATCGTCTACAGAAAATTGAAAAGATTCAACGACTAGTTTCAGTGCGGATGTTGTCCCCGCTGTAAATACAACTGTGTAAGTAGACGGATCTGTGTTGAAGTGCTTAAGGATACTACTGCGGATTTGTTCTACGCAGTCTTTAGTATATTTATCTGAGTGAGGGTTCATGTAGACATTATTCACTAGATCTTCATGTACAGCAGTGAGTAAACATTGCGGATATAACGTGGCCCCCGCATTTTCCAAATAACATCTGTCTGTAATTATACAACATATGGACAATATAAGCAAGCATAAAATATATGTAAATTATTTTTTAAATGTGTACACAGCTGAAGGTACAAACACGTACTTTGTAAGATACAATGCCAATAAAGCAACTTGTTTGAAGGATAGAGAAATCCAACTAAATGTAATTAGTAATTACTGATAAGCTAGAAACTGAATTTATGCAGGTACTTTATTACAGGTAATATAAATAAAACAGTTAATTTGAAATGACAAAAATACCTCTATCTATGTTTTAATAATTAACGTTTTTTTTATGCAAATTTACCACCATAATTTTGAAAGGGAATAAAATTAGCGCCAAAGTTATTTTAAAGTGTAACAAGTTCATGTCTATGTAATTAATTATTTTATTCATTCGCATTTCACCGAAGATAACTTTCTCTTACAAATCCAGTTTGTGAGTCAACCAGCCTACTTGTGTGACATTACAATTTAACTTTTAAAACGAAAGAGATAAGTACTATACATGAAAATATAATTAGAATCCACTTACCTCCCAACCTTGTGAAATTCGATGTAATTTTGATCATATGCTCTTGATCAATGACCTGACTCAGTGTGTTCATCTCGTTGTCCTCCTCATAGGGACCTGACATCATTAAAGCATGAAATAAACACGCGCAAAAAAATAATAAAAAAGTTTACGAACTCACGAGTTCTATATCTACGAACAAAAATAAAAAACTATATGAACACTTGTTATTTGACGCTATGGACATCAATAAATCGTTACAACTAATTTACAGAATAACCTTGTACGGAGGAAAAGTATAGTGTACGTAATAATAAAACTATTATCTACAAAATAATAAGCACAACAACAATCGCACTGTACGGTAATGATCATCTGACTGACATTTGCGTGGGTGACAGCTCACAGCCTGACAGCTGCAATATGACAGACTGACAGAGACACGTTTGTTTTGACTTTTATGTCAAAGTGTTACCAAAATTATAACATAAACTACTAATGGTAGTTTACATAACAATCGGAATATTATTGTTATATTGTTTATAAACTGTCGTAAAATGAAGCTAAATATTGCATAAAATGTTTTGCATTGTTTCTAAATTAAAATGTGTATTGCCTTTGTATATGCATGTGGTTAATGTATGCATAGGACGTTACAAAAATATTTTTTGCATAAAATGATACTTTAGGTACCCTAACATTCTGTACATTACAATAAAACAATGTAATAATAAGTGATGAGATTTTTACAAAGTGGTTGTTAGTAACATAAATACGCAGGTAACAAATTGGTTATTTAATTTTGGCTTTGATACTTAAAATAAACTTCTCCTAATTTTACAGAGATGGCGTTAGTAGTCACAAGTGTTATTTTAATTTTTACGTGCAGTTGTTGTTTGTAAGTAGATGATTAAATAATGTAAAAGTTAAATTAAATTAGTATGTAAGTCTAACAGTGACCTAAGTTAAGACCCTTTAGTACTTGCATGTACATTTTATGCCTACATACCTACATATTAGTTAGTTTTCGAATACACAAAGCATGGCTTATAATTTTTAGCACACGAAATATAGAAACCAACCATACCTAGTCAGCAACCATCTGTTTTAAACTTTAATAGAAATTAATGCACCACTTTATACCTATAATAATAAAGTAGGTAAAAACACATCAAAAGAGACGAACAGTGCTAATAGTTTTAAGTCTATTGCACAAAAGAGGTTCTCATACATAGGTAGATTCACCTTCGGCAGCATCGCCTTACTAAATTGAGTTACACAAATTTAATTATTGCTTTTATGGAGGGCTTTTAGTAGCTTTTAGTATCAAGCGGGGCATGATCGACTTCCCCTAAGTGAATTGACGGCCATGACACAGAACGTTCGCTTTACTGGCTGCACACTTTTCCTAGGGAACATTCTGACAGCCGGCGCCTTTAGTGGCGAAGAAGTTTTCGAATTACGAACTGAGAAATGGCGGGAAAAGTGGCCCTTTTGAAATTGGAAGTGGTTACCTGAGTTTCTTTTTTTTTTGCTGTTTTTGCTATAGGAATAAATAGCAAGCAAAGCGTACCTACCTTTATAAATCATTTTATAAAGAATCCGGTCAATAAAACTGTTCTTCGATTTTAGAAACAATTCTTAAGTCCTAAAATAGTCAATCTATTAGTAACACATATTTAACATCACGCTTATTATCCTGGAAGGGGTAGGCAAAGGTGAACATATACGGCACTGTCACTATAGAGGTATAATGTAACACTCACTTTTCACTATTTATGTTATGAGTCCCATGTAATAGAGGGTGAGCCTATTGACATATACCGGACACGATTCCAAACGCCGTGCGCTACTTTTGTGGTTTTTTTAAACACCCAGTAATACTTAGTCCGACCCGGTAATCGAAACCGAGACCCCTTGCCCGGCAGTCGCACTTGCAACCAATGAGGTAGATTAGTGTCACAGTTTAAATATAACCATGATTCAATGTAGGTAGGTACACACTTTAACCATGATTAATAATCAGTTGACTTGAGTTAAATTTAACTTTGCACTCATAATTAAACGTTAATTCAGTAACAAGTAGATATGAACGAGATTAATTGACTTCGAATTATTATCCGTACTATAAAAATAAAATAAAGAAAGGAAATGTCCACTAACCTTAACTTTGACCTCTTGTTGCTCTCATTTTGCTCGACTGACAAATGAGTTCAGTTATCATAATCACCTCGTATTATAGCCTTCGTTGGCATGCTACTATTGTCTATTACTATCCCTATTGGTATCCATAAACAATTGAATAATAAAAAGTCCTGGAGCCGTGCGCGCGCGGAATCAAAGTATTTATTAAGTCATCCTACGCGTTATCTCCATATTTACAAATAATAGGTACGAAATTATAAATCGATATTGTGGAAACGAAATACCACATTCTAATTACCTACAATTCTAAGTTATTCTGACATAGGTAATAACATCAATAACAAAAATTTATCACCTGTATTTTTCTCTTTATACGAAACTTAAACGAATTTTACGAAATTGTAGTTTTTTTCGTAATTACATAGGCCTTACACGAGAGGACGAGAGGGTATTGACGTTTTACAATGTAGTATCTAGGCGAAGAAGCTCTCAATTCGATATATATTTAATTGAGGTTATATAAAACAAGTGGCCACTCCCGGGTATCTCGTGTTCTTCGAACAAGTGCAATAGATACTTCGAAAATTGATTTAAACTTGAAAAACTTCTTTGAAATTGTTCCTTAAACGGTCTGTGATTAGATCTACCTATTACTCCGACATGAAAATTATTTAATAACATACTTTGAACAATGTGGCCTATCCATGCTACCTACTTGCAGATTATAGGAACTACTGCTTTCATTTTACTCTTACCACGCCTTTCATTAATAATATTTTTGTTTCATACCGTTGACAGATAAATCTTAAAAACTTTTTTTTAATCGTGATCATTTTATACTCGGATCTTTCAACTCTCGCTATCAGATATCCTCGTTATAAGTAGTTTACCGTCAAACTGAATGACATTGGTAAAATATTTATTAAAGTTCAATGCTCTTAGCTTAATTATATGGAGTGGATAAATATCTTTAAGTTATTTATATAGAATTTTGCATGTCTCTTAAATAAGTATCTTTTCAATGTATGCAACACCTATTTATGAATTAACACCCAAGGCCGTGCGGTCACAAGTGCGACTGCCGGGTAAGAGGTCTCGGGTTTGATACCTGGGTCGGGTGAAATATTACTGGGTTTTTTAAGAAAATCTCAGTAGTAACATGGAGTCTGGAATTACGTCCAGTATATATGGCAATAGACTCACACCATATTACATGGGACACAACCTACATCGTGAAAAGTGGGTGTTACATTGTACAGTGGCATTCAGTGCTGTAATGTGCACCTCTGCCTACCCCTTCGGGAATAAAAGTCTGATGTTATGTTATGCTAACATTCCGTACCTACAGTTTAATACATATATGAATTCTAAAATAAATCTTATTTGATAAATGTACTTCTGACTAGCCTTCAGAGACGATCTTGTGTAAAAACATATTTTATGTATGTTTATTGTTATCATGCCGAAGATGTCTATTGCTAAATAAAAGCATACCCCTTAGACCGCCAGGCTAGACCATAAGTCTTTAGTTTTTTCCCTTCCGCAAGTTCCACCTAGACCTAGAGGGCGTCGCGGACAACCTAACGGGTAACCGGGGCTCCGACTCGACGTGCAGGAGAAGGAACGGGGTGGTTTTTAGTCAGTAAGAGTCTGACACTCCCTCCCGCCTCACCCAGGCGGGAGCAGCCATTTGATGATATTCCCCCCTTAAAAAAAAAGACCTAGAGGGCGACACCTGCCTCCGCTGCATAGGTACCTAATTTAGTCCCAGGTCATCGCAGACACCATCGAAATGCTGGCCATTTAACTTTTCTTTAAGGGTGGGAAATCATCGAAAGGCTTCTCCTTCGCCTGGGTGAGGCGGAAGCAGTGGCGTGCAGTCCATATAGGCAAAAAGGCTTTGCCTACCTTACAAATACCGTGAATAACACTACGTAATAAAAGATATAAACATTTTAATTTTACTACAGAATACTAAAATAATAATTATAATAAAATTAGTGAACGCCTAAAATAAATAGTATAGCAACAATGATGGCGCGCGATACGTGTTGCATTTCGCCAGGCGTACCGTATATGTATAGCTGTAAACATTAACGCGCGAGGCAGGCACGCGGTTCCGTTGCCTGCAAACCATTCATAAATTTAAGCGTGTAGTGGTGAACGTCATTGTGTGCGTAGTGCACAGACGCGTTTATTTTATCGTCGCGAAGCTTGCCTGCAGGCACGGCCTGACGACTCGTGATTGAAGTTCGCCGCGAGCCGACCAATCACGTTCCGTGTCTTGGTTTACTCATTGGTCGCCTCTCAGCGAACTTCACGCCGCTCGCGCGTGACAATTTTTTTGTTTTTGTTTACGTGCGATGCGTGGATTTTCGGATAATTTTGTTATTTGATTTAGAATACGATTAGTAATTCTACGCAAATAATTTGTAGTAAACGGTATAAAATTGTCTATTTATATAAGTACATTTTATTACTGTGTTTGTTTATTTGTTAATTGATTTTGCAAAGTTATACGAAGAACTGTGAAGTTTGTATTGACAAAAGTTTGTAAAGAATTATAAACTATCGCAGACCATCGCTTAGTGATTAGATTGTGTGTGAGTTTTTCTTCTGATAGTCTTGTCTTGGTAAGTTCTATGAAAGTTACTTTATTTTAATGTGATTAGGTTATGTAACATAAGTAGGTACCTACGCGGAGCTTCCCGTCGCGGCAACTCAGTCAGTAAAAATAACGAAGCTTTAAGTAATATGTTATGTACTAATTATAAAATGAAATGAAGAAGAATAAGCTAGGTAAATGAATGTTTAATAATACTAAAAAATGTACTACCGCTTACTCGGCTCGGCCGCAGCCGGCCGCGCTCGGTTCGATTTTTCTATTAGTCATACCCAAGTTCTTAAAATCATAATATCTCTTGAATAGATGAACCAAACTTATTAATTCGAAGAATTAAATTAAAATAGTAAAGAATTCGTAATATTCTTGTATTAAACGTGAGAAGGCTGGACAGGCCGCCAGTTCAGTACAATTTTTAGAATGAACAATTCGTTACTGCTACTGAATTGATAACATAAATTAGATTAATCGTTATACAGCACCTCGAGTAGGTAATTATGCAGATTAGTTTTACAAATCTAAAGAGAAAAATAGAATATTAATGTTTTTAAGTTGTTAGAGTAATCAATAAGTTGATGTAATACTTCACGAAAACAACGAGAGATGGCACTGTTACAAAGAATTGACGAAAGATTAAAAACCTCATAAGTTGAAGTATGTTATGTATTTACGATGAGTTTAATCATAATACAATATTATGTTGCCTACCCTGTTCTAAAACCCTGTGCACGCCACTGGGCGGAAGGGAGTGTCAGACTTCTACTGACTAAAAACCACCCCGTTCCTTGTCCTGCACTTCGAGCTGGAGCCCCGGTAACCCGTTAGGTGCTTTGACTTGGATTTTTTGGGCAACATCTTTATTGAGGTTGTACTTAGCTGGGTATTTTTTCCAAATTACTTTTGGGCTATAATTTACAATGACTATTTGACATGATTTTTGTTATGTTCATCTAAGTTTCATAATTACTTACAAAATACTCAAATAGGTTTTAAAATTCCCGATTCACTCATCATTTTAACAACGCTAATTGTTCAAACTACAATATTGTGTAAATCAATTATTTATTCAATTTTCTTTAATGGCAATTATAATTATTCAATTGACAGCGGGAATTAACTACGGCATTGTTCAAAAATTCAAAATTGCTAGGTTACTACCGAAACATGAGGTGCTATTAACTCAACGAATGAAATTAGTTAGAATTCTCATTATTAACAGTAATTGACGCTCAAATTAATTTTAATACATTGTTTGTACAACAATGATTATGTAAAGTTAGTGTTTATAATTCAAAAGTAATACGTAAGAAATTATAATAGTCGAATACTTTGTGTAAATGCTTAGACACGCTCGTGTCTGTAGCTACGGACAACCTAATAACGGGGCTCCAGTTTAAAGTGGGAGTAGGAACGGGATGGTTTTTAGTCAGCGTCTTACTCCCCTCTCGCAGTCTCGCCGCACCCAAGGCGGGAGAAGACATTCAATGACTGCTCTTGCCTTCGGTTGAGGCTACAGAGAGTGTCAGACTCTCACTGACTAAAACCAACCCCTTCCTACTTCTGCTTCGAGTTGGAGCCCTGGCAACCCCTTAAGTTGTCCGCGGCTCTGGGACTTAGTAGGGGTAGGATTATTACTATAAGTACATGCTAGTGTGCTAACCAAGTCGCGGAGAACCTAACGGGTTATCGGGGCTCTGGCTCGAAGTGCAGGAGTAAGAACGGGGTGGTTTTTAGTCAGTAAGAGTCTGACGCTTCCTCCCGCCTCACCCAAGCGGGAGAAGCCATTCGATGTTTTTCCCCCCTTAAAAAAAGTGTGCTAATTATTTAGAAAATTCTAAAACCACGGGAAACATCATAGTAATTATATGTTTAACGTCTCGAAAATGAGATTCAGGGTTTTGTGTGTTCAACAGTCGTGCTCGCGATCACTTCGTCATTAGCGTCAGTAATTATACAATTTATTCATCAATTCGAGAAGTTTCGATCGTTGAATATGTCTATTTTATACTATTAAAACAATTTGGTGTTTTCCATATTGTTTTCGGCAAATAACCTAATATCTAATCTACAATTAATATCTTAGCTATGTGCATTGTACAGTTATCTATTGTTTCAGGATATCCTATTCTGTCTACATTTATATCTATTCAAAACAACTCTCTTCTCAACAATAAGATATTGTAAATTGTTCCAAACTAGATATGTCATGATTGAACGATTTCTTTGAAGCAAAAAAATCCCAATAATTCACCTTTAAAGGCTAATAAATTAGAATACAGGGAGCCTATGTATATATATATATTGACGATACCTTTAACTAAGGGTACTAAGATAACTTTAAGTTTGTGTGTGGATGTGTAGTAAATAAAAGATAATAGAAAAGAGCACAAGAAATGCCACTAATAAGTGGCATTTCTTGTACTCTTTTCTTTCTATTTCTATTTCTTCTATGGGGCAAAGGCATACGTTACTTTATTTATGTGTAAACAGGTCAAAGATTAATCAATTAATCTATTATTGGCAGTTGGTATTGTGATCTCATCCAGGGCAGTCAACCTCGCCTTCGTCCTTGCTGTCTAGCCATTTATGCAAAAGGAATGTGCTAAAATGTAAAGTCAATTGAAACTATTTCTTCGTTTACTTTTAAACGCGGTTTATTTATTTATTTAAACTTTAATTTACACAGAAACAGGTGATGGTACATAAGGCGGACATTAATGCCATATAGCATTCTTTCCCAGTCAACCTTCATAGAAAATTGGCGAAATATAGGCATGTGTCATTATTCATTATCTATTTATATTATTATACAAATGTTCGTTTCCCGTTGTCACGCCATAACTTGAGAACGGCTAGACCGATTTGGTTGATTTTTTTTGTTGTGTTTATTATTGTCAGGAGAAGGTTTTTATGACAGAAAAAAGTTCTGAAAATCCTACGGGAACGGGAAAAAACGGGATTGTGCGTACAAAGTCGCGGGCAGAAGCTAGTAAGGAATAGTTAACATAAATAAACTTTATAAATAAATATCATCATCATCAACAGTCTATAAATGCCTTCTGCTGAGCAAAGCCTCTTCGGTTTCACTTTCATAAAAGTTTTTTTTTGATTCCGAGAAAGGGATTCCCAAATAATGTTTGGTTACCCATCTTAACATTGACCTCTGTGTCACAGAGCTATCTAGTTGCCAAAACACGTATGGTTGTTTACATAATTCTTTCGAATTTATTGCTAGCCTACTCACAGCTATTTTAAGTTTCAAGGTCATATGAGTGTGGCCTAGACCTTTGCGAAGCTTCCGATAAGATTCACCTCATCTGCAAATTACTTGAGGATGTTGCAACATAACACTTAGAAACGCGATTATGCACTTAACATAGGTACTTATTCAAGGACGAAGGCAGTTTTTGTAAACGAGCAGGTACTTATAGTAGGTAGTACCTAAATAGGTTAAAGATAGCTACTGTTAGTTAAGGTGGACTAGCGACATCAATCTTATATGAAGTTATAAGTTCAGCTTTCCTAACGATGCTTTCCTTCACTGTATGTCAATTATATTGCGTTTAAAAAAAACCAAGAAGTATAATAATCATGTAGGTAACTTGGAAATAGTCTCATTGGTTTTGAACATGCAACTATAAGGTTGATTACAAGAACATTAACTTCCAGGCTATTATGACACTCGCGAAAACAAAGAAGTACCTAACCTTGTTAATTTCTGAACATGCATATAACAGTATAATGCATCTCCCGTTTCCGCATGTCAATCTGATATAATACGTCCTGTTTAACAACTTGTTGTTTGGTTTGACACTGATGGTTAAGTAGCATTGGGAATATTCCCTCGCGATCAATTTTTGTTATGTTTTTGTAGATCATGTTCCGGTAGAATATGATCGTATCGATCGTTTTACTAGATAATGGGAAAGTTGCAATGTCTACCATTGAAGATATTTATTGTTATTGGTGTCTGGTATTTTTAAGGTTAATCATAACATACTACTGTGATTATAGACATAACAATTTAGTTTGTTTTGAAGTTGCACATTAACACGTTTTAGATGTTGCATGGTGCGAACCTTTAATGACATTTTGAAATGGTACCTGCACTTTTTCTGTATTCTTTCTTCATTTGCTTAGTTGCAGCTACTTTGCGGTTACAGCTACAGCTGCTGGCTCTTGGACGGCGAGTTGTCGGCAGCATGGCATTGACTGACAATCAGCGAGTAAATAACGCCGGCGTCGTGTGTGTACGACTACAGATGAATTTTTGTTTTTGCGACCGCGAGACGTTTCGCAATCACGATGAATTTCGGTGACGCGAATATATTTCGGTGCGTAATCTTTGTATTCTGTTTTGGTTACGTTCAAAACAGACGAAAGATAAAAGTAAACAGTGACGTAGACTTTAGTGACCGCAACTCTGACATATATTTGAACTCCTTACAACTAATCAATAAGTACGGGTATCGACCCCAAAGCAACACAGTGATAACGGACGATGGATATTTAGTGAATTGTTACAGAATACCAAATAAAGGACCGCCAGTGTTGTTAGTTCACGGGATTGGTGACAGTTCCGATTCGTGGTTGGTGCTCGGACCTGAGAAGTCTGTGGCATTCCAGCTTGCCAGTCTAGGATACGACGTGTGGTTGTATAATGCTCGAGGAAATAAATACAGTAAGGGACACGTTAGGAATCTCCCTGAAAAAGAATATTGGAATTTTAGCTACGAAGAGATGGGAACACAAGATTTACCTGCGGTGATTGATTATATACTTCAAACAACATCTCAACGTAACCTGTCGTACATCGGGTTTTCTCAAGGAACGGCAGTTTTTTTCGTTATGTGTAGCATGAAGCCTGAATACAACGAGAAGATCAAGCAAGCGATATTACTGGCTCCGATAGCGTGGATCACAAATACGCAGTACCCGTTTATAGATATTTTAGCACAAAATTTGGACGTGCTAAAGACATTTTTTGATAGTGCCGGTGTGTACGATTTATTTGCGGATAATGTGTTGACTAATTTTTATCATGCCAAAGTGTGTCGTTTGGGTGTGCCTGAAAATATTCTTTGTAAGTTAGAATATTATATAAGTTATGGTATAAGGAATTTGAGTAATTTGTATCCAAAAAAACTTCCGATTGTTGCTAGTCATATTCCTGCTGGGGTTTCGATAAAGACGTTTATTCATTATTTCCAAAGTTATTCGAGTAGGCGGTTTCAGAGGTTCGATTATGGTATGAAAATGAATCGGGAGGTGTACTCTTCCATTTTGCCTGCATCATACGATTTGTCCCGGGTTAGAGCTCCTATTTACATGTTTAGTAGTGATTTGGATTGGTTTAGTACACCGACAGATGTTCAAAGACTTAGTAGTGAATTACCTAATATTGTTAGACATGTGAAGTTAAATGAATCATTAGACTTTACACATTTAGAGTTTATTTATGGCACTCGTGTTAACGAAATAATTAATAATGATGTAATTAGAATAATAAATGGTGATTTATAAAATGTACGGTGAGTGAATTTGAACTGTTTTTGTCTACGAATAAGTCTATTGTTCTGAAGTAGAGGTCATTCTTTTTTTGTTGGATAGGTTTTTGATTTCCTGTTGTTGACGTATAAACATTGAGTTACATCGATCTGTGGTTATTTACAGTGTAACTAACTTGAGTATTGGTGCAAACATAGAAATTTTCAGTATCATAAATACTACCAATAAATATTTTATTGTATGTTTATTATTAAATATGTGGCCTTGTTATATAGCTCTGTATACCCATAACATCCGTAAACAATGGTACCATTGTAGTGCCTATAGAAATTAAATTTGTATAGGTATAACATTCCATGCATTTTTCAAATATTTTGTACTTATGCATGTGATATATTTTATCATTCTGATAGCATGCTGTTTTGAATTCTTCTTCTAAGATTATGTGATTATGATCCTTGATTTTATATTAATATACTTATTGTTATAGACTTTTATGACTATTGTATTGATATTGACGGTACATGTATGTTTTTAATGTATATCTAAAATTAGTTTCTAGGCTACTGCCTAGTTACGCCGTACTGCCTAGTAAAAAATACGTCGACTATACTTAGTCGACGTATTTTTTCTAAAGTTCGTTGATTTTAAATATCTTTAAGTAGATTAGGTTTTTGCCCCGCATGCATCAATACTTAATGCAATATTTTTTTTTAAATAGAATAAAGGGAAGGCCAAAAAGATTACATACAAAATGTACCTGTCTATGCAATCCTTTTTGGTATCCCGTTACAAGTAAGTACATCCATAGGTATCGTTTAGGAATTTCTAAAATAAAATAAACACGCGTTTGGTTTTCCATGGGACCAAAGGGTTCATTGATAGGGGTCAAATTGCTTTGGGGATGGAAAGGGGGAACATTGATTCTGCAATCATTGCGATACTTTGAATACGATTTATAATACATGACGGGATTTTCGCAAAGGGAGTTCAAATACACACAAATAAACTGTAGAACAAAACATTAGGAGTAGGTATTATTATTATGATTCGACAAAGGAGAATTGTGTAATCAATTCTATCTTGAATTTGTTCAATTATCTTATTTTATTTGATATCTAATGCTAATACATAGAAAATATGTAGGCTTAACCCACCTTTTAAATTAAATTTAAGGTATTACAATATTTACAAAATTGTATAACTCATATTTAAATTGTAAATGTTTTTCATTATGCTATTTTACTCGTGTTAAACTTAAATGAAACTAATAACATAGAACAATGAGTTTAAAATCAATTGTGTTCAATATTCTATAAGGTATACAAATAAAATGGTTCATCTAAGTTTTGGGTGTAAATATTCCATGAGGATTGGTAGTGTACTGTGCACAGAAAAGCCTGGGGCAGCGCTTTCGACCGTACGGTTTAATTTGGCTCCGATCGACTGTGTATGCAGACCATACTAGTCGGGTCATTGCACATAACCTCAACGGTATGAATGTTTTGTGGGAAAATTGCAAAGAAACTATTATATTATCTAGCTTTGTACATATGTATTTTTAATTAGAAATCGTTGATGAATGGGTGGAATATAAAATTAATAAAATGGATAAATAATGTTTGATAGAAGAGGGATATTTTTTGTCATACGTATCGTAATGAGTTTATAGTTTGTTGCTTGTTTGAACTGTTTATTGTTTTACTAAACTAGTTAGAGTATGTAGACTTTTGTTTTAATAATATATAATTAATAATGATTAGGTAACTCTATTTTTTTTTGAAGGGGTAATCATCCAATGACTTGTTCCCGCCTGGGTGAGGGGAAAGAGTGTCAGCCTATTACTGACTAAAAACTACAGACTCCTGCCCTTCGAGCCGTAGCCTCGACAACCCGCTTATTGCCATGACGATTTTTACGTCATGAAAATAGTAGAACAAAGCTCAAATTTAGTAGTCAGTCGATTCATAACATAACATTACGCCTTTTATTCACGAAGGGTTTCGCAGATTACGGCACTTAATGCCACTTACAATGTAACACCCACTTTTCACTATTTTTGTTATGAGTCCCATGTATTAGGGGGTGAGCCTATTGGCATATACCGGGCACACTTTCAGACTACATACTACTGAGAATTTTTCAAAAAACCCAGTAATACTTTGCCTGTCTTGGGAATTGAACCCGAGACCTCTGGCCCAGCAGTAGCACTTGCAACGGTTCGGCCAACGTGGCAGTCAATCGATTCATATCAATTACAATAGCTCACCTACTACATAATTTACAAAAATATTTGGTATGTTTGCAGGTTAATTAATAATGAATCGTTCATAGTTATGAGAGTCCATTCCATAATGTAAAATTTTGACACGTGAAATTTTCTCACCCTATATTGTTATACAGGCCACTTTCAGTGGTTTAATTGTGCTATAAAATTATGCTGAAATATTTATCGTGTTACGCGGAAAATGTACATCATAATAAATTTTTGATATTAAGTATTATGTACCTGTTTTATTTTACTTGTTTCATTATATTTTGCTTTAAGAGCGATGTTTGGTGAAATATTTACAATTAAATTGATTATTCCGTTATTTTCGGTATAGTTTTTTTTTTTAATTTGATTTGCCTACGTTTGACCACTATCTCGACTAGTGATGCGGTCCACAATGGAGCACGTCGTCCCATAAGCAACCTATTCACTCGGGCCTTTACGACACCCAGGTATATCCTTCAGGAAATACAGACTCTGGCAAAAAATTCCACTCTTTAGCAGTACGCACAAGGAAGCGTAAAACTGTACCAGTCACAGCTATGGTGTCACTATCGCGATAAAAACATGTTTTAAAAAATAATTACAATAAAACTGAATAAAAAACATGGCTGTTGATTATTTTATCACAGAGTTTAAATAAAACAATGATGTTTTTGTGTGTATACAATTATACTGTGTGATGAACTTAGGTGTTGTAAGTTAGGCATCGACTCGTAGGTGATTTCAAAAAATAAACTAATGATTAAGTTTATATATCACTGATAATTGGGATGATGACAGGGTATGAAAATTAAAAATGTAATTAGTCCGTAAGTTAGGTAATAAAAAATATTAGACACGTATTTTTTTATTTTGTAGTATAATAAAACAATACTTAGACTTACCTAGACTTAAAACGAATCAAAGTTTAGGAGTGGGGGCTAAAACGTCATTTCTACGTGTAAAATATACATAGAAGTGACGTCACGCGACATTTCAAATCAATATATCGTCGAAAGTATTTGTTTCTGTAAGAAAATAAAAAATACGTGCCTAGTGATTTAAAATAATCTATCAGACGGACATTAAAATAAAAATTAGGCATCTACTCTATTCAATGATTCCAAAGGCATTAAAATACACGTCGGTATTCATTTTTTGCATAGATAAGGATTTTCTTTTATTAAGTTTAGTAATGTTAATGAGCATATTCGGGGAATAAACAGTATGCAAGAATATCTAGTGACATCTACCTAAAAAGGCGGTGAATATAGCCAAGTACATCAGAGTAAATTCATTTTAAAGTAAGTATACACAAAACAATTCACCTGCCCACAAATCGACATGACTTTATTCAATACCAATATCGAAATTCAAAAATTCTGGCAACATTTTTAATAACTACGTGTCCATCAACGATCATTTGTTTGGGGCATGTGCGTCAAATATTGAATAGGATTCGTCAACAAAACATTTTGTAAATATCGGAGAGTTCGTGAACATAATTGAAAAGTCGTGCGCTACACCTGTATCGGGGGAAACTAACGCAAATTGAAACATAACGGTACAGTGTGTATGGATGGATAGACAGTTCAGTAATAAAGTGGTTTTTCACTCTGTTCCTGTACTTATGACTAGATGCATGAATAAAAATTGTTTTGGTGTAGGTATTTGAATAACTTTGAAGAAAGAATGATTAGATGTAGAAACTTTAGTGTATTTATGCTATCTGCTATTGGGAACTGGTTATTTAATGTAATTAATAGTATGTAATATAAACATTTAAATAAAAATAGGCATTTAAATAAAACTAGAGCTAAGTTAAATAGAAACTAAACTAGTTATAACTAAAATTAGCATGAGGAGTATAGAAAAAATAATAATATTAAATTCCATTCAATTACGCTTAAGTTGTTAACGTCTACGTTTGAGCCTAGGATCAAAATAAAAAAAAAAATCAAAATCAGTTGTCTGATTCGACGCATTTATAAAAACGTCATTTTATGGGTAGGTACAAACAAGAGATAAACTCTCGCAAGATCAAAGTGCCTATGGCACGTAATGTTTTTTTTTTGGAGTTGTACTGCCATCTTCAGTACTTGTCTCTTTTTTTGTCTGCATAGTCATTAAATATTTTTAAAAGAAAGTGACATTTTTACTGACCCTGAAGTATGTAGATTCATGTAGGTGTGTATGTGAATGAAACAAGTATGCAGCTGTCTAAAACAAATGTTATGTACAACCTTGTGTTTGTAACGATTGTATATGCAAATTATAGATACTCAATACATTTTGACATTGACGTCATAACAGCGTAAGAATATTTTTTTTATTTTATGTTGTCACGCTATGCCACTAGGAAGAGAAAACTTAATAAGTAATTAAGTAGTTTTAATATTTATTTCATGCCAGATAAAGTGTAATTTATTTCGACAACAATTATATTTGAACAAAAAGGAATTTTAAAACCTGTATTTTTTGCTTAACGTATATTTATTAACCCATTGAAGCATCAAAAGAAGTTAACTCGACTTATCTCTATACGTACATTGCCCCTTAAAAATTACAGAACTAGGTACATTAACAAAACCGTACAAAAACCTACCAAATGCTATAAAGGCTGCAATTCCAGTAAACCTACAGTCACATAGGAACATAGGTAAGCAGAAGAGGGACGAAAAATTAAAATACTCAACCTGTCCGAAACGGTGTCACGACCAGACGGCCTGTTCAAATTGCCTCTCTACGGTCAATTTAATCGTGAAAAACACTCTGCATTGTCTAGGTAATGAACACGGCTACCTGGGCCGGGACACTCCATGAACACTTCATTTACGAATCACGATTAACTCAAATACTGAACTCGAGTGTAGAGGTACTTTCGATACTCTTGTTGTTTACAGCTAAAATAAAGCTGTTGTTTTGACAATGTACAGTGATTTTGGGTACTCTTAACTAATGTTTACTTGTTAGGACAGGACTTCTAAATGCCATCTAAAGTTTTTTTTTATGTAATGTAGTAAACGAGCAGACGGATCACTTGATGGTAAGCAATCGGCGTAGCCCATGGATACTTGGAACACCAGAGGCGTTACAAGTGCGTTACCGGCGTTTTGGGGATTAGGAGTTTGAGGA